CCCCTCCCCTCCTCCCCCCCTCTCTCCCCCAGATGTCCACCGGTTCAGAATTGTCCACCACCACCACGACCTCCGCCAAATCCAAAAGCACCTCACCAACGCTCACCCCGTCACCCTCACCGTCACCGTCACCGGCGCTCACCACACGACCCCTTGCGGTGGTTGGGGCGGCCAGGGCGGTGGGTGGTGGTGGCGGTGGTGGTGGTGGTGGCGGTGGTGGCGGCGGTGGTGGAGGAGCGGAGGCTTCCAGGTGGGAGTGGGCCGGGGGAGTGGCCGGAGACTCACTCAGAGACTCACTCAGAGACTCACTCACTCAGAGACTCACTCACTCACAGAGTCACTCACTCAGAGACTCACTCAGAGACTCACTCACTCAGACACTCACTCAGAGACTCACTCAGAGACTCACTCACTCACAGAGTCACTCACTCAGAGACTCACTCAGAGACTCACTCACTCAGACACTCACTCAGAGACTCACTCAGAGACTCACTCACTCAGAGACTTACTCAGCGACTCACTCAGAGACTCACTCATAGACTCACTCACTCAGAGACTCACTCAGAGACTCACTCACTCAGATACTCACTCAGAGTCTCACTCAGAGACTCACTCACTCAGAGACTCACTCAGAGACTCACTCACTCAGAGACTCACTCAGAGACTCACTCAGAGATTCACTCACTCAGAGACTCACTCACTCAGAGACTCACTCACTCAGATACTCACTCAGAGACTCACTCAGAGACTCACTCACTCAGATACTCACTCAGAGACTCACTCAGAGACTCACTCAGAGCCTTACTCACTCAGAGACTCACTCACTCACAGAGTCACTCACTCAGAGACTCACTCAGAGACTCACTCACTCAGAGACTCACTCAGAGACTCACTCACTCAGAGACTTACTCAGCGACTCACTCAGAGACTCACTCATAGACTCACTCACTCAGAGACTCACTCAGAGACTCACTCACTCAGATACTCACTCAGAGTCTCACTCAGAGACTCACTCACTCAGAGACTCACTCAGAGACTCACTCACTCAGAGACTCACTCAGAGACTCACTCAGAGATTCACTCACTCAGAGACTCACTCACTCAGAGACTCACTCACTCAGATACTCACTCAGAGACTCACTCATAGACTCACTCACTCACTCACAGAGTCACTCACTCAGAGACTCACTCACAGACTCACTCACTCAGAGACTCACTCACTCAGAGACTCACTCAGAGACTCACTCACTCAGAGACTTACTCAGAGACTCACTCAGAGACTCACTCATAGACTCACTCACTCAGAGACTCACTCAGATACTCACTCAGAGTCTCACTCAGAGACTCACTCACTCAGAGACTCACTCAGAGACTCACTCAGAGACTCACTCACTCAGATACTCAGAGACTCACTCAGAGACTCACTCAGAGACTCACTCACTTAGATACTCACTCAGAGACTCACTCAGAGACTCACTCAGAGACTCACTCACTCAGAGACTCACTCAGAGACTCACTCAGAGACTCACTCACTCAGAGACTCACTCAGAGACTCACTCAGAGACTCACTCACTCAGAGACTCACTCAGAGACTCACTCAGAGACTCACTCAGAGACTCACTCACTCAGAGACTCACTCAGAGACTCACTCACTCAGAGACTCACTCAGAGACTCACTCAGAGACTCACTCAGATACTCACTCAGAGACTCACTCATAGACTCACTCACTCACAGAGTCACTCACTCAGAGACTCACTCACAGACTCACTCACTCAGAGACTCACTCACTCAGAGACTCACTCAGAGACTCACTCACTCAGAGACTTACTCAGAGACTCACTCAGAGACTCACTCACTCAGAGACTCACTCAGAGACTCACTCACTCAGATACTCACTCAGAGTCTCACTCAGAGACTCACTCACTCAGAGACTCACTCAGAGACTCACTCACTCAGAGACTCACTCAGAGACTCACTCAGAGATTCACTCACTCAGAGACTCACTCACTCAGAGACTCACTCACTCAGATACTCACTCAGAGACTCACTCATAGACTCACTCACTCACTCACAGAGTCACTCACTCAGAGACTCACTCACAGACTCACTCACTCAGAGACTCACTCACTCAGAGACTCACTCAGAGACTCACTCACTCAGAGACTTACTCAGAGACTCACTCAGAGACTCACTCAGAGACTCACTCACTCAGAGACTCACTCACTCAGAGACTCACTCACTCAGAGACTCACTCAGAGACTCACTCAGAGACTCACTCACTCAGATACTCAGAGACTCACTCAGAGAGTCACTCAGAGCCTCACTCACTTAGATACTCACTCAGAGACTCACTCAGAGACTCACTCAGAGACTCACTCACTCAGAGACTCACTCAGAGACTCACTCAGAGACTCACTCACTCAGAGACTCACTCAGAGACTCACTCAGAGACTCACTCACTCAGAGACTCACTCAGAGACTCACTCAGAGACTCACTCAGAGACTCACTCACTCAGAGACTCACTCAGAGACTCACTCACTCAGAGACTCACTCAGAGACTCACTCAGAGACTCACTCAGATACTCACTCAGAGACTCACTCATAGACTCACTCACTCACAGAGTCACTCACTCAGAGACTCACTCACAGACTCACTCACTCAGAGACTCACTCACTCAGAGACTCACTCAGAGACTCACTCACTCAGAGACTTACTCAGAGACTCACTCAGAGACTCACTCATAGACTCACTCACTCAGAGACTCACTCAGAGACTCACTCAGATACTCACTCAGAGTCTCACTCAGAGTCTCACTCAGAGACTCACTCACTCAGAGACTCACTCAGAGACTCACTCAGAGACTCACTCACTCAGATACTCAGAGACTCACTCAGAGACTCACTCAGAGCCTCACTCACTTAGATACTCACTCAGAGACTCACTCAGAGACTCACTCAGAGACTCACTCACTCAGAGACTCACTCAGAGACTCACTCAGAGACTCACTCACTCAGAGACTCACTCAGAGACTCACTCAGAGACTCACTCACTCAGATACTCAGAGACTCACTCAGAGACTCACTCAGAGCCTCACTCACTCAGATACTCACTCAGAGACTCACTCAGAGACTCACTCAGAGACTCACTCACTCAGAGACTCACTCAGAGACTCACTCAGAGACTCACTCCGAGACTCACTCACTCAGAGACTCACTCAGAGACTCACTCAGAGACTCACTCAGAGACTTACTCACTCAGAGACTTACTCACTCGGAGACTCACTCAGAGACTCACTCAGAGACTCACTCACTCAGAGACTCACTCAGAGACTCGCTCAGAAACCCACTCAGAGACTCACTCACTCAGAGACTCACTCAGAGACTCACTCACTTAGAGACTCACTCAGAGACTCACTCATAGACTCACTCAGAGACTGACTCAGAGACTCACTCAGAGACTTACTCACTCAGAGACTCACTCAGAGACTCACTCACTCAGAGACTCACTCAGAGACTCATTCAGAGACTCACTCATAGACTCACTCACTCAGAGACTCACTCACTCAGACACTCACTCAGAGACTCACTCATAGACTCACTCACTCACTCAGATACTCACTCAGACACTCACTCAGAGACTCACTCACTCAGAGACTCACTCAGAGACTCACTCAGAGACTCACTCACTCAGATACTCACTCAGAGACTCACTCAGAGACTCACTCAGAGACTCACTCACTCAGAGACTCACTCAGAGACTCACTCACTCAGAGACTCACTCAGAGACTCACTCAGAGACTCACTCAGATACTCACTCAGAGACTCACTCATAGACTCACTCACTCACTCACAGAGTCACTCACTCAGAGACTCACTCACAGACTCACTCACTCAGAGACTCACTCACTCAGAGACTCACTCAGAGACTCACTCACTTAGAGACTTACTCAGAGACTCACTCAGAGACTCACTCATAGACTCACTCACTCAGAGACTCACTCAGAGACTCACTCAGATACTCACTCAGAGTCTCACTCAGAGACTCACTCACTCAGAGACTCACTCAGAGACTCACTCAGAGACTCACTCACTCAGATACTCAGAGACTCACTCAGAGACTCACTCAGAGCCTCACTCACTTAGATACTCACTCAGAGACTCACTCAGAGACTCACTCAGAGACTCACTCACTCAGAGACTCACTCAGAGACTCACTCAGAGACTCACTCACTCAGAGACTCACTCAGAGACTCACTCAGAGACTCACTCACTCAGATACTCACTCAGAGACTCACTCAGAGACTCACTCAGAGCCTCACTCACTCAGATACTCACTCAGAGACTCACTCAGAGACTCACTCAGAGACTCACTCACTCAGAGACTCACTCAGAGACTCACTCAGAGACTCACTCCGAGACTCACTCACTCAGAGACTCACTCAGAGACTCACTCAGAGACTCACTCAGAGACTTACTCACTCAGAGACTTACTCACTCGGAGACTCACTCAGAGACTCACTCAGAGACTCACTCACTCAGAGACTCACTCAGAGACTCGCTCAGAAACCCACTCAGAGACTCACTCACTCAGAGACTCACTCAGAGACTCACTCACTTATAGACTCACTCAGAGACTCACTCATAGACTCACTCAGAGACTGACTCAGAGACTCACTCAGAGACTTACTCACTCAGAGACTCACTCAGAGACTCACTCACTCAGAGACTCACTCAGAGACTCATTCAGAGACTCACTCATAGACTCACTCACTCAGAGACTCACTCACTCAGACACTCACTCAGAGACTCACTCACTCACTCAGATACTCACTCAGACACTCACTTATAGAATGTTGGCCCCGCAGGTCTCGCTCTGTTGAGAGCTCATCAGCAGTGACTGGCGGTAGTGGTGACTCCAGTACCAGCGGAACCCTCACGGAGGAAGGTGAGTCTATGGGTCTCTGTGTGAGTCTATGGGTCTCTGTGTGATGAGTCTATGGGTCTCTGTGTGAGTCTATGGGTCTCTGTGTGGTGAGTCTATGGGTCTCTGTGTGATGAGTCTATGGGTCTCTGTGGTGAGTCTGTCGGTCTCTGTGTGGTGAGTCTATGGGTCTCTGTGTGAGTCTATGGGTCTCTGTGTGGTGAGTCTATGGGTCTCTGTGTGATGAGTCTATGGGTCTCTGTGTGATGAGTCTATGGGTCTCTGTGGTGAGTCTGTGGGTCTCTGTGTGCTGAGTCTATGGGTCTCTGTGTGATGAGTCTATGGGTCTCTGTGTGAGACTATGGATCTCTGTGTGAGTCTAATGGTCTCTGTGTGAGTCTGTGGGTCTCATTGTGAGTCTATGGGTCTCATTGTGAGTCTATGGGTCTCTGTGTAGTGAGTCTATGGTTCTCATTGTGAGTTTATGGGTCTCTGTGTGAGTCTATGGATCTCTGTGTGAGTCTATGGGTCTCTGTGTGAGTCTATGGGTCTCTGTGTGAGTCTATGGGTCTCTGTGTGAGTCTATGGGTCTCTGTGTGAGTCTATGGGTCTCTGTGTGAGTCTATGGGTCTCTGTGTTAGTCTATGGGTCTCTGTGTGAGTCTATGGGTCTCTGTGTGGTGAGTCTATGGGTCTCTGTGTATGTCTATGGGTCTCTGTTGGAGTAGTTTATGGGTCTCGGTGTGAGTCTATGGGTCTCTGTGTGAGTCTATGGGTCTCTGTGTGAGTCTATGGGTCTCTGTGTGAGTCTATGGGTCTCTGTGTGAGTCTGTGGGTCTCTGTGTGAGTCTATGGGTCTCTGTGTGGGTCTCTGTGTGAGTCTATGGGTCTGTGTGAGTCTATGGGTCTCTATGTGAGTCTTTGGGTCTCTATGTGAGTCTATGGGTCTCTGTGTTTGTGTGCGACACAGCTGATGAGCTCTCGGCCATTCTGAAGAAGCTGTCGCTCGAGAAATATCATCCAATATTCGAGGAGCAGGAGGTGCGGGAGGGGACTGCGCTAACCACTGCACCACCACTCATCCACTTACTCACCCATTCACCAACCCACTCACTCACCCACCCACCCACTCACCAACCCACCCACCCACTCACCAACCCACTCACCAACCCACCCACCCACCCACTCACCAACCCACCCACTCACCCACCCACCAACTCTCCCACGCACTCACCAACCCACCCACCCACTCACCAACCCACCCACCCACTCACCAACCCACTCACCAACCCACCCACCCACCCACTCACCAACTCTCCCACGCACTCACCAACCCACCCACCCACTCACCAACCCACCCACTCACCAACCCACTCACCAACCCACCCACCCACCCACTCACCAACCCACCCACTCACCCACCCACCAACTCTCCCACGCACTCACCACCCCCCACTACTCACCACCCCCCCCCACCACTCACCACCCCCCCACTACTCACCACCCCCCACTACTCACCACCCCCCACTACTCACCACCCCCCCACTACTCACCACCCCCCCACCACTCACCACCCCCCCACCACTCACCACCCCCCACTACTCACCACCCCCCCACTACTCACCACCCCCCCACTACTCACCACCCCCCCACTACTCACCACCCCCCCCACCACTCACCACCCCCCACCACTCAACACCCCCCACTACTCACTACCCCCCACTACTCACCACCCCCCCACTACTCACCACCCCCCCACTACTCACCACCCCCCCACCACTCACCACCCCCCCACTCCTCACCACCCCCCACTACTCACCACCCCCCCACTACTCACCACCCCCCACTACTCACCCACCCCCCACTACTCACCACCCCCCACTACTCACCACCCCCCCACTACTCACCACCCCCCCCACTACTCACCACCACTCACCACCCCCCCACTACTCACCACCCCCCACTCCTCACCACCCCCCCACTACTCACCACCCCCCCACTACTCACCACCCCCACTCCTCACCACCCCCCACTACTCACCACCCCCCCACTACTCACCACCCCCCACTACTCACCACCCCCCACTACTCACCACCCCCCCCACTACTCACCACCCCCCCCACTACTCACCACCCCCCACCACTCACCCCCCCCCCACTACTCACCACCCCCCACCACTCACCACCCCCCCACCACCCCCCCACTCCCCACCACCTCCCCACCACTCACCACCCCCCCACCACTCACCAGGTGGATCTGGAGGCCTTCCTCACGCTGTGTGATCACGACCTCACCACCCCCCCACTACTCACCACCCCCCACTACTCACCCACCCCCCCACCACTCACCACCCCCCCACTACTCACCAGGTGGATCTGGAGGCCTTCCTCACGCTCTGTGATCACGACCTGCTGGAGCTGGGCATCTCCACCGACGCTCCCCGGCAGCAAATCCTCTCGGCAATCGCTGAACTCAACGACACCAAGGTTCATTCCCCCTCTCATTCATTCCCCCTCTCATTCATTCCCCATCTCATTCATTCCCCCTCTCATTCATTCCCCATCTCATTCATTCCCCATCTCATTCATTCCCCCTCTCATTCATTCCCCCTCTCATTCATTCACCCTCTCATTCATTCCCCATCTCATTCATTCCCCCTCTCATTCATTCCCGCTCTCATTCATTCTCTCTATCATTCCCCCTCTCATTCCCCCTCTCATTCATTCCCCATCTCATTCTTCCTCTTATTCGTCCTCTTTCATTCCCTCTCGTTCATTCCCACCTCTCATTCCCACCTCTCATTCCCCCCTCTCATTCCCCCCTCTCCACTCTCTCTCCACTCACCACTCTCTCTTTACTCTCCACTCTCTCTCCACTCTCTCTCTCCACTCTCTCTCCACTTTCTCTCCACTCTCTCCACTCTCTCTCCACTCTCTCTCCACTCTCCACTCTCTCTCCACTCTCTCTCCACTCTCCACTCTCTCTCCACTCTCTCCACTCTCTCTCCACTCTCTCTCCACTCTCTCTCCACTCTCCACTCTCTCTCCACTCTCTCTCCACTCTCTCTCCACTCTCTCCCCACTCTCCACTCTCTCTCCACTCTCTCTCCACTCTCTCTCCACTCTCTCTCCACTCTCTCCACTCTCTCCACTCTCTCTCCACTCTCTCTCTCCACTCTCTCCCCACTCACCACTCTCTCTCCACTCTCTCTCCACTCTCTCTCCACTCTCTCTCCACTCACCACACTCTCTCCACTCTCTCTCCACTCTCTCTCCACTCTCTCTCCACTCTCTCTCCACTCACCACACTCTCTCCACTCTCTCTCCACTCTCTCTCCACTCTCTCTCTCCACTCTCTCCACTCACCACTCTCTCTCCACTCTCTCCACTCTCTCTCCACTCTCTCTCCACTCTCCACTCTCCACTCTCTCTCCACTCTCTCTCCACTCTCTCCACTCTCTCTCCACTCTCTCTCTCCACTCTCTCCACTCACCACTCTCTCTCCACTCTCCACTCTCTCTCCACTCTCTCTCCACTCTCTCTCAACTCTCTCTCCACTCTCTCTCCACTCTCCACTCTCTCTCCACTCTCTCTCCACTCTCTCTCTCCACTCTTTCTCCACTCTCCACTCTCTCTCCACTCTCTCTCCCCTCTCTCTCCACTCTCTCTCCACTCTCTCCACTCTCTCTCCACTCTCTCCACTCTCCCTCCACTCTCTCTCCACTCTCTCTCCACTCTCTCTCCACTCTCCACTCTCTCTCCACTCTCTCCACTCTCTCTCCACTCTCCACTCTCTCCACTCTCTCTCCACTCTCTCCACTCTCTCTCCACTCTCCACTCTCTCTCCACTCTCTCTCCACTCTCTCTCAACTCTCTCTCCACTCTCTCTCCACTCTCCACTCTCTCTCCACTCTCCACTCTATCTCCACTCTCTCTCCCCTCTCTCTCCACTCTCTCTCCACTCTCTCCACTCTCTCCACTCACCACTCTCTCTCCACTCTCTCCACTCTCTCTCCACTCTCTCCACTCTCTCTCCACTCTCTCCACTCTCTCTCCACTCTCCACTCTCTCTCCACTCTCTCCACTCTCTCTCCACTCTCTCTCCACTCTCTCTCCACTCTCTCTCCACTCTCCACTCTCTCTCCACTCTCTCCACTCTCTCTCCACTCTCTCTCCACTCTCTCTCCACTCTCTCCACTCTCTCTCTCCACTCTCTCTCCACTCTCTCTCCACTCTCTCCACTCTCTCTCCACTCTCCACTCTCTCTCCACTCTCTCTCCACTCTCCCTCCACACTCTCTCCACTCACCACTCTATCCACTCTATCTCCACTCTCTCTCCCCTCTCTCTCCACTCTCTCTCCACTCTCTCCACTCTCTCCACTCTCTCTTCACTCTCCACTCTCTCTCCACTCTCTCTCCACTCTCTCTCCACTCTCTCTCCACTCTCTCTCCACTCTCCATTCTCTCCACTCACCACTCTATCACCACTCTCTCTCCACTCTCTCTCCACTCTCTCTCCACTCACCACTCTCTCTCCACTCACCACTCTCTCTCCACTCACCACTCTCTCTCCACTCACCACTCTCTCTCCACTCACCACACTCTCACCACTCTCTCTCCACTCACCACACTCTCACCACTCTCTCTCCACTCACCACTCTCTCTCCACTCACCACTCTCTCTCCACTCACCACTCTCTCTCCACTCACCACTCTCTCACCACTCTCTCTCCACTCACCACACTCTCACCACTCTCTCTCCACTCACCACTGTCTCTCCACGCACCACTCTCTCTCTGCTCTCTCTGTCTCTCCGCATCTCCCTCCCCATCACAGGACCGCAAGAGGCTCTTCCTGCAGGACAACGTGGAGAACCTGCAGTGGTCATTCGGCAGCAGTGCCAGCAACACCCAGTGCATGGTGCAGCGTGCGGATGTCTCCTTCTAGAACCTGGGTCTCAGGTTCTAGAGTAGAGACCGGGTCTCAGGTTCTCAGTGTCTAGAGTAGAGACCTGGTCTCAGTGTCTAGAGTAGAGACCAGGTCTCAGGGTCTCAGTGTCTAGAGTAGAGACCTGGTCTCAGTGTCTAGAGTAGAGACCAGGTCTCAGTGTCTAGAGTAGAGACCGGGTCTCAGGTTCTCAGGGTCTAGAGTAGAGACCAGGTCTCAGGGTCTCAGTGTCTAGAGTAGAGACCGGGTATCAGGATCTCAGTGTCTAGAGTAGAGACCGGGTCTCATGGTCAGTGTCTAGAGTAGAGACCAGGTCTCAGTGTCTAGAGTAGAGACCGGGTCTCAGGATCTCAGTGTCTAGAGTAGAGACCAGGTCTCAGTGTCTAGAGTAGAGACCAGGTCTCAGTGTCTAGAGTAGAGACTGGGTCTCAGTGTCTAGAGTAGAGACCAGGTCTCAGTGTCTAGAGTAGAGACCGGGTCTCAGGGTCTCAGTGTCTAGAGTAGAGACCTGGTCTCAGGGTCAGTGTCTAGAGTAGAGACCAGGTCTCAGGGTCAGTGTCTAGAGTAGAGACCGGGTCTCAGGGTCAGTGTCTAGAGTAGAGACCGGGTCTCAGGGTCAGTGTCTAGAGTAGAGACCGGGTCTCAGGGTCAGTGTCTAGAGTAGAGACCTGGTCTCAGGGTCTCAGGGTCTAGAGTAGAGACCGGGTCTCAGGGTCAGTGTCTAGAGTAGAGACCAGGTCTCAGTGTCAGTGTCTAGAGTAGAGACCGGGTCTCAGGGTCAATGTATATAGATGTAGATGCCACTGGTTCTTCACGTTCTGCAGATGCAGATGCCACTGGTTCTTCACGTTCTGTAGATGTAGATGCCACTGGTTCTTCACGTTCTGTTGATGTAGATGCCACTGGTTCTTCACGTTCTGTAGATGTAGATGCCACTGGTTCTTCACGTTCTGTAGATGTAGATGCCACTGGTTCTTCACGTTCTGTAGATGTAGATGCCACTGGTTCTTCACGTTCTGTAGATGTAGATGCCACTGGTTCTTCACGTTCTGCAGATGTAGATGCTACTGGTTCTTCACGTTCTGTAGATGTAGATGCCACTGGTTCTTCACGTTCTGTAGATGTAGATGCCACTGGTTCTTCACGTTCTGTAGATGTAGATGCCACTGGTTCTTCACGTTCTGCAGATGCAGATGCCACTGGTTCTTCACGTTCTGCAGATGCAGATGCCACTGGTTCTTCACGTTCTGTAGATGTAGATGCCACTGGTTCTTCACGTTCTGTAGATGTAGATGCCACTGGTTCTTCACGTTCTGCAGATGTAGATGCCACTGGTTCTTCACGTTCTGTAGATGTAGATGCCACTGGTTCTTCACGTTCTGTAGATGTAGATGCCACTGGTTCTTCACGTTCTGCAGATGTAGATGCCACTGGTTCTTCACGTTCTGTAGATGTAGATGCCACTGGTTCTTCACGTTCTGTAGATGTAGATGCCACTGGTTCTTCACGTTCTGTAGATGTAGATGCCACTGGTTCTTCACGTTCTGCAGATGTAGATGCCACTGGTTCTTCACGTTCTGTAGATGTAGATGCCACTGGTTCTTCACGTTCTGTAGATGTAGATGCCACTGGTTCTTCACGTTCTGTAGATGTAGATGCCACTGGTTCTTCACGATCTGTAGATGTAGATGCCACTGGTTCTTCACGTTCTGCAGATGTAGATTCCTCCACCGCCATCTATCGAACTTTCGAAATCTGCATCTCGGACAAACGGGTGTCAAGTTTTCTTCGTTACTCTGAACGTTGCTAAGTGGAGGGTGTCTGTGTGTGTCTGTGTGTCTCTGTGTGTGTGTCTGTATGTGTGTCTGTGTGTGTGTGTCTCTGTGTGTGTGTCTGTATGTGTGTCTCTGTGTGTGTGTCTGTGTGTGTGTGTCTGTGTGATTGTGTGTGTGATTGTGTCTGTGTGTGTGTCCATTGCCACTAGGGAGACAAAGGCGGTCGGGCGTGGTGCTGGCCACCCACCCCCTCGTGTACCGTTACGGCCTTGTATAGGTGCTGCTAACAGCACTTGCCCCTACAGTCTGTTAAGGCTATATGGGGGATCTTTGTCTTTGTTTGTGTGTGTGTGTCTGTGTGTGTGTCTGTATGTGTGTCTGTATGTCTGTGTGTGTGTCTGTATGTGTGTGTGTGTCTGTGTGTGTGTCTGTGTGTGTCTGTGTGTGTGTCTGTGTGTACGGGGGGAGCGGTGGTGCAGCGATTAGCGCCACGCTGCGCTACGAACCCGGCCACCCGGGGTTCGATTCCCGCTCACGGCCACCAACACCCCCAGTGACGGATTATCCGAACCGGGCCTGGGCCTCCCCTTAGGTCGACTCAGCCTCAAATGAGTTACCTGGTGTAGCGGTGTGCGGTGAACATCGCCACTGGGGAGACAAAGGCGGCCGGGCGTGGTGGTGCTGGCCACCCACCCCCTCGTGTGCCACAGTGCCGGTAGCCTTCACAGCTGCTTGCCCGCTGACGGCACTTGCCCCTGCAGTCTGTCGCAGGCTACACGGGGGACCTTTGTCTTTGTGTATAAATCGTGGGCTCATCTGCCAGCGGTGCCACATGGCCCCGGATCTTTCATGGACTGGGTGTGCTGGGCGCTTTGCCGATTTGCCGGAATGATGAATGTATAATATATATACACACACACACGTGCACTGTATATTTTATTTTGTTACATGAATTTAAAAGAATACATTTTAAGTCGATGGGTTGTTGTTGTTGTTGTTTATTTTTTTTCCTGCAGAAGATGATGGTAAAATGTATGCAGTGTTTATGTTTATTTAGCTGTTGTGTGTATGCAGTGTTTATGTTTATTATCTGTTGTGTGTATGCAGTGTTTATGTTTATGTATCTGTAGTGTGTATGCAGTGTTTATGTATCTGTAGTGTGTATGCAGTGTTTATGTTTATTTATATGTGTGTGTGTATGCAGTGTTTATGTTTATTTAGCTGTTGTGTGTATGCAGTGTTTATGTTTATTATCTGTTGTGTGTATGCAGTGTTTATGTTTATTTATATGTGTGTGTGTATGCAGTGTTTATGTTTATTTAGCTGTTGTGTGTATGCAGTGTTTATGTTTATGTATCTGTTGTGTGTATGCAGTGTTTATGTTTATTTAGCTGTTGTGTGTATGCAGTGTTTATGTATCTGTTGTGTGTATGCAGTGTTTATGTTTATTTATCTGTTGTGTGTATGCAGTGTTTATGTTTATTTAGCTGTTGTGTGTATGCAGTGTTTATGTATCTGTGTGTGTATGCAGTGTTTATGTTTATTTAGCTGTTGTGTGTATGCAGTGTTTATGTTTATGTATCTGTTGTGTGTATGCAGTGTTTATGTTTATTTAGCTGTTGTGTGTATGCAGTGTTTATGTTTATGTATCTGTTGTGTGTATGCAGTGTTTATGTTTATTTAGCTGTTGTGTGTATGCAGTGTTTATGTATCTGTTGTGTGTATGCAGTGTTTATGTTTATTTATCTGTTGTGTGTATGCAGTGTTTATGTTTATTTAGCTGTTGTGTGTATGCAGTGTTTATGTATCTGTGTGTGTATGCAGTGTTTATGTTTATTTAGCTGTTGTGTGTATGCAGTGTTTATGTTTATGTATCTGTTGTGTGTATGCAGTGTTTATGTTTATTTAGCTGTTGTGTGTGTATGCAGTGTTTATGTTTATTTAGCTGTTGTGTGTATGCAGTGTTTATGTTTATTATCTGTTGTGTGTATGCAGTGTTTATGTTTATTTATATGTGTGTGTGTATGCAGTGTTTATGTTTATTTAGCTGTTGTGTGTATGCAGTGTTTATGTTTATGTATCTGTTGTGTGTATGCAGTGTTTATGTTTATGTATCTGTTGTGTGTATGTAGTGTTTATGTATCTGTAGTGTGTATGCAGTGTTTATGTTTATGTATCTGTGTGTGTATGCAGTGTTTATGTTTATTTAGCTGTTGTGTGTATGCAGTGTTTATGTGTATGTATCTGTGTGTATGCAGTGTTTATGTTTATTTAGCTGTTGTGTGTATGCAGTGTTTATGTTTATTTAGCTGTTGTGTGTATGCAGTGTTTATGTTTATTTAGCTGTTGTGTGTATGTAGTGTTTATGTTTATTTAGCTGGTGTGTGTATGCAGTGTTTATGTTTATGTATCTGTTGTGTGTATGCAGTGTTTATGTATCTGTTGTGTGTATGCAGTGTTTATGTTTATTTAGCTGTTGTGTGTATGCAGTGTTTATGTTTATTTAGCTGCTGTGTGTATGCAGTGTTTATGTTTATGTATCTGTTGTGTGTATGCGGTGTTTATGTTTATTTATCTGTTGTGTGTATGCAGTGTTTATTTAGCTGTTGTGTGTATGCAGTGTTTATGTTTATTTATCTGTTGTGTGTATGCAGTGTTTATGTTTATTTAGCTGTAGTGTGTATGCAGTGTTTATGTTTATGTATCTGTTGTGTGTATGCAGTGTTTATGTTTATTTAGCTGTTGTGTGTATGCAGTGTTTATGTTTATGTATCTGTAGTGTGTATGCAGTGCTTATGTTTATTTATCTGTTGTGTGTATGCAGTGTTTATGTATCTGTTGCGTGCATGCAGTGTTTATGTTTATGTATCTGTTGTGTGTATGCAGTGTTTATGTTTATTATTCTGTTGTGTGTATACAGTGTTTATGTTTATGTATCTGTTGTGTGTATGCAGTGTTTATGTTTATGTATCTGTTGTGTGTATGCAGTGTTTATGTTTATTTATATGTTGTGTGCATGCAGTGTTTATGTTTATTTAGCTGTTGTGTGTATGCAGTGTTTATGTATATCTGTGTGTGTGGGTGGGTGAGTGGATCAGTGGGTGAGTTAGTGAGTAGGTGGGTGAGTTATTTAGTGGGTGAGTAGGTGGGTGAGTGAGTGGATGTGTGAGTGGATGTGTGAGTGGGTGGGTGAGTGGGTGGGTGGGTGAGTGGGTGGGTGAGTTAGTGGGTGGGTGGGTGAGTTAGTGAGTGGGTAAGTAGGTGGGTGAGGCGAGTGGGTGAGTGTGTGAGTGAGTGGGTGGATGTGTGAGTAGGTGGGTGAGTTAGTGAGTGGGTGAGTAGGTGAGTGAGTGGGTG